TTGGTAGCCTTCTCTAGATCTGTGCCTTGCAAAAATCCTGTCTCTGAGTTTTACAGGCAGTTCCTTTGACTTCATGTTTTTGTTCTGATACAGTATGCATTGTAAGCTGTGAGGCAAGCAAATTCAGTTTTATGTATCTTTTGTTCTATATATTTACATGTCCTTGACCATTTTCTTCTCTTCATTTCAATCTTTCTGTTCTGCACACATCATGATATACAGTATAAGAATATTGGCAGAGGGAAAACCAATTTAATTTGATAGAGGTAAGCAGTGACTGAGGCCCAGAAGCAAAAACATTATACACAGACAAGGGGCTGCAATGTTACTGCCAGTACTGTCATTATATTACATAAGAGAAAGCCAACCTGGAGGACATTGATGAAGAATACTGTGCTGGATCCCAGATGTCTTAGGCAGGTGATTATAAATTCAGTGCATCCTCTGAAATGCAGAGCAGACCTGAGCTACGGAAGACACTAGAAAACAGTGTAATAAAATTAACCTATCGCCAGTATATAGCAGCCATTTTCAGGCCTGATGCAATATTTAGAGTCCATAGGTCAGAATTATATAACTCCCAGAGGCTTATGACTAAGGCCCATACTGGGCAGAAATGCGTAAGCGTTAAGACCAATGATGGAATTTTCTAATCATGGCAAATAAAGCCTATCTTGATACTCAGGAGTGTGTATCAAATGGAGTCATAGAGGGTAGGGGTCAGGACTGTGTAACACAGAGGGTGCAGGAGTCTAAAGTGCGTAATGCACAAAATACAGGGGTCAGGAGTGGGTATCGCAGAGAATTCAGGGATCAAAAGTATGTAACAGGCAAGTGAAGACAGTACTGCCAAAAGTTACCTTCTCTTCCAAGAACAAATCCCCTCAAGCCCAAATCTCCCTGTAAAGATCACTGCTAAAAGTCCCAAATTCCTCTCAGGACACATTTTCTCCCACATCCCTAAATCTTCCCCCCAGTACAGACCCCCCCCTCCAAGCCCACCCCTCAGTACAGACTCCCCAAGCCCATCTTACAATATGGATTCCCCCTCCACCAGTTTTATGCCACAGGACTGAGCTCCCAAAGCCAATGCCTCCAAGTACACTTCCCAGTACAGACCCCCTGCCCCCAGCACAGTACACATCTTCCACTCCCTCCCATCAAGTAACTCACCAGAACAGCAGCAGTTTAGAGTGAAGGGTAGTCTTCCCCTCAGTTGTGTCATGTGACTGGAGCGAAGGAGAAGCCAACAGGCAGGCAGAGGCGACACTGCAGTGCTAATGCTAAAGGCAATTCAGCACCACAGAAAACAAAAAAAGTGTCTGCAGTCAGGGCCTTGGGACCGGGCAACTCCACAAAAGATGTCCAACACCAGAGCCACTCATGGGATTAATGAAGCACTGAACCACGCATGGATCTCTTTTAATCAACCACTTTTTCAGCGGAATCAAAAATAAATTTTGGTAGCAATTTGGACCAAAGAATTTGGACCAAAGAAGATAGCACATGTATTTGACAGAAAGTTTTGATCTTTGAGTGTAAGTGAAGCTTTTAAATATTGTTTTTATGCTTACTACACTATGAAGTACATTTTATAGTTTAAACTTGTTGATCATCATCTAGATTTGTAGGGGGTTTACATTTTTTTTTTACATAGTTTGACTTTTTTTGCTAGGGATTTTAGTATTTCTCTATCTCAGTCCAGTTGCGCTGAATACCACTTGCGGTGATACATATACACACAATTCCCAAGTGTTATTATATATCAATAGAAATGTGTATTTATTCATTTTTTTATGGTTCACAAACACAAAAAGGTAAAGGCCACACTGCAAATTATTTTTGGTTCAATATTATTTTATTGATTATTAGATTTTGAATTACCACATACTGAATTATTACGGTATGTTATTAGTTTCAGTTATTCTCAGCACTGTTGCTTAGTAATATTTTCATTTCAATGTATTTTATTAATTTTTAACTTTGTCAAAATTACAAAAAGACATACTGGGGTGGAAAAAACAGGGGTCGCAGCCCCAAGTAGTAAAATATATCAAAAGGATTCAAAGACCCCAGCATAAATGGTTATGGAGAAAATGGTACAAAAACATCATAACAGTTAAAATCGTAAGGCTTGGGGTGGTTAAGTAGACGGCGCATGCTCCAAACCAGCGGGTAACCAGTATCAGAGAAAAGGAGAAGGAAGTGGGCAAAGAGAAAAGGAGAATTAATGACCAAGGAGGCCAAAGTGGAACGGCAAGAAGCGCGGGCCATTTGAATATCACATACAAAGAACAGGCTGGTGATATGAGAGCCATGGGTCCCATATCTTAACCACTTCAAGTCCGGACACTTTCACCCCCTTCCAGTCCAGGCCAATTTTCAGCTTTTAGCGCTATCACACTTTGAATTACAATTGCGCGGTCATGCAACACTGTACCCATATGAATGTCTTAGCATTTTTTGAGACAGATAAAACTTTATTTTGGTTGTATTTATAAAAGGCTGTAAAAGCAATCATTTCTCCTTCTCTCTGGCTGCAATCCTGCAGCCTTTTAAAAAATGCTGTGTGAGCTGTGATTGGTCACAGCTTGTCACATGGTACAAGGCTGTTGTGAATAGCCTTGTACCATGTGACCTCTGATCATTCACAGATTTCACACATAGTAAGCAATGATGCCAGAAGTGACATCTTGTTTACTACAATTCATGTGATCACTGATTGGCCAATCAGTGATCACATGAATCGGGACTTCACACACAGGTCCCAATACAGCGATCTGTTTTCCACTGTCTCCTCCGGACACAGCGGCACCGATCGCATCGGCAGCGCTCCCGTCCGACTGTTTATCAACATGGGACAGACCAGGGGCGGACTGACAACTCAGGGGGCCCCCGGGGCAATAGGGGATCATGGGGCCCCTGTGTCCTTGCCCAAGCTCAAAAAAGCCTATGAAAAAGGTACAAGGGCATCTCATGGGCCCCCTACTGACCCCGAGCCCTCGGGCAGTGCACGAGTTTCCAAATGGTCAGTCCACCCCTGGGCCGGATGGGAAGAGGTTAAGAAGCTGAATAACATTTTCAAGTTGGATATCTAGTTATGATACAGAACACTACTCCATGGTTTACCCATACTGTAGGTTACAATTTTGCATAGAGTGTATATAATATATATATACATACATACTGTGTACAATCAAATAAAAGGTTATGCACCATGTAATCTAATCAAGTGCCCAAATGTTAATATACTCCAAGACAGTATTATGTGTAAAGCTGTCTAGTGTAAAGGCAAAAACAGTTGCTCTGCATGTATCTCTGAACCTCTACAATCCTCTATACCATCATGCAGCAATAAAGTTCCAAAAATGGTTGTAATATAATAAATGTAGAACCATACTGTAGAGTAGCAGAAATGCAGTAAAATATTAACCAGGGTATCGTCAGCCAATGATCAGTCATATAAGTATCTGCAGTAAAGTCTGTGGTAAACTCCATAGGCTCAGCCAACTGGCTGTATGTAATGTTACACTCCAAGTCCCTGTATCTTGTGGAAAGTCCACGCTCCAGTATGGTGGTGCAGGTGTAAGTAGCAAAAGCAGTGACCTAGGTTCTCATAATGTTACATTTGAACCAATGCGTTTCATCATGGTAGGCCTTTTCCAGAGGGCGTGGCTACAATTCCTGAAGAAGCCCTGCCACATTGTTCACATTGGCTTGGAAAACTATATCTTAACCACTTTCTACAGTTATCTGGAAGCAGAGATTACTTTCACTTCATTATATTCTGTTATGGAAATGTCTGGAATACGCACAATCAAAAATTTCTTTGATGATTACTTGCCTGCTATAATTCTTGTGGCTTGATTATACTTGCAGATTTACAATTAAACAGCATCTGTATATATTGCTACAACACTTTTGGTCCAAAAGAAAAAACCGCTTTGGATGTCTACTTACCTGCTTACCTTTAATGAAGCTGGACTGTGCTTGTAGAGTTGCAAATAGTGCTTAGCTTTCAAGCTGCCTTCAGTCTTTTAAAAGTCACATACTTAGAACATGTATGCAGATCAGGTGTTCTGATTGGATACTTGTTCTGAGTCAGCAACTCAAAAGAATGAAAGCCAAATACAGCCAGGCACCTACCATTTTCAGAAGGTGCGTAGAAATGGCACTCCAATGCTTATATCATAAGTATGCTTTAACTCCTGCAAGACCTTGTATACTTCAGGTTTCAAAGAGGTTGTAAAGGCTAAAGGTTTTTTGCCTTCATGCATTCTATCCACGAAGGTAAAAAACCTTCTGTGTGCAGCAACCACCCCCCAATACTTAACTGAGCCCCATCACAATGCAGTGATGTGCAAAAGAGCCTCTCCAGGTACTCTGTCTTCTCATTGGCTGAGACCTCGAGGAGAGAGAGGGGGTGGGGCCGAGCCACAGCTCTGCATGTGAATGGACATGCAGAGCAGTGGCTTGGGAGTGAGCATACTTGAGTGCCCTCTAAGGAAGCTGTTTGCTCTGGGGGCACTTGGCAGGAGGGAGATGCCAGTAGTGCCGACTGGGGACCCAAGAATAGGAGGATCGGGGCAGCTCTGTGCAAAACCACTGCACAGAGCAGGTAAGAATGACAAGTTTTTTTTTTTTTTTTTTAATCTACCTTTAATAACACTCTAACTACTTCAGCTCTCTAGAATTATATAGTAGTACGTCCAGTGTCTGAAGAATTTAAAACATGCTCATGGCTGTAGTAGTAGCCATGAGCTCACATTTGTTTTGTTCAGCGGTCTCCTGGCTTTAAAGTAAAAGTTGCTTTATCTGGCAAACATTTCCCTGAGGATGTAATATATAAAATATATGTCCAAAAATACCAAAATTGAAGCCTGCTAACATAATCAAGCTACATTTTAGCGAAATTATGCTAATGTCCTCTTGTCCAGTAGAGGGGAAGTGAAAAATTGTCAGTTTATTAGTTATTGCTATAAGTAAACAACTCACAGTACCTCCTTATGGCCACAGTAAGAGCCTCTGGTGAACTGGCACAAGGACAAATGACTTCTTGCCGCAGGCCTTTACTTTGGAAGACATTGAGGAAAGCGTCACAAGAAGAAATGGACCCTGGGGAGGAAACACAAGAGGAGGATGTGATGATGCATGAGCAGGAAACACTACGTTTGGACAAGATGATTTAGAACTCTTTAAAGAGCATTGAGGACATTCTGAATAGTTCATCTCTACACTTGTCCTGTGGCATTACAACACTAAGAAAAATGCACTGTAAACCAGAAGCTCATTAGTCTCTGTCTATCTCATACAAGCCGCCAACACCTCTCCTCAGCCTGCAGTGAGAAGGGTACAATGCAAAGCTTAGAAATAAAACATGACATTGTGGATGTAGAAATGTTTAAATATAGTATCTTATTAAAACCCCAAATCTCATCTCAAGGAAAATGTCAGCAACATAGCAAAAGCTATTATACCAAGCAAATTCATTTTGGATGCTGTGCGAATAAACTGGTCACAGAGCAAATATTTCTGTTTCACCCAGGCTTTGGTCTTTTTTTCCTACAGTTCGTATAAGCATGGCATGAATAATAGCTTACAAGTTACATAAAGCAAAATCTTTTGATTTTTAACTTTTGGATAGAATGTGGATGGATTAGAACCCAGGTTTTGAGTTGTTGCATGTGTCCCTGCTAAGGAGATTTACCCTCATTGTTGTCTCTGGTACAAAAAGTGAGGGGAAATTCAACATTTTATTTTAGTTGCCACAGGAACATGGTGGTGCGAGAAAAAATCTTCCAATGGGAAACTTCTACTGGTAATAACTGAATAACTGGCAAAGGAATATCCTTTTTTGGCTTTGGAGAGATCTTATTTCCTGCAGTGTCTCTGGGACACGAAGTAAAAAATAATCTCCCCAATGGGACTTAGAAGGGCAAAAAGAACTGAAAGGAGTCCTAACTACGGACAAACTTGGGTTCAGCCTAGAAGTTAGCAGTCATTGCTGGGCCAATGAGCTGTGGCTGGGATATTTCCTGCCCTGCAGCTGCATGTATAGATAATTGACCGAATATGGCCACATGGCCATAATAGGGCAATGATGTTAACCTAATATGGCCAAATCCCAGCCAAGCCCGAACCCAAGCTCACCATTAGCCTTAACCAATACCTATTCTATGCAAAACAAAAAAACGTTTTGGCTTAATACACAGTTTCTAAAAAAACTGTGTTGCCGATGCAAGGTAAGGTGAAATAATCAGCAGAATCTAACTTTTGTCCCCTTGCCTAACTTGATGAGAGATAAACTAGCACTCGTGGTGGTTCAATATAGATTACAAGAAACATGTCATATGGGAATACTTTCAAATTGACTAGTGTTGCAAATTTTTATTTATATAATTTTTTAAATAAACATACTGTCGCATTTTTAGCTGAACATGTTAATGAGGTATCTTTGCATCTTTTCTTAAAGACTCTTCAAAGAGTGTCTAAGTACAGCTCAAGTGTATCCAAACACAAGAGAAAGCATGCAGCAAAGCCTGGATGCAGAGGTCGGTGGATTTTGACGGGGCTTCGGTAAAGATTTTGCCAAACATATCCCAAGCTACACTGCAATGATGGACACTTCTCTGCCCTCTTCTGGAGAAGGCCAAGCAACTAGGGCTTACCTTCCGCTAGGGATAACCGCTTGCAGATTCTATGAGGAAACGGCCTGTCCCATTTACACTTCGGTCCACGGAGGACCTGCCTGCCCTCTTCACCATCATGGACAGATCCGATTGAGGTTCCTAATTGACTTCAATTCCTACCGTGGCAACCAGGCCAGCCCGCAGCCTCTGGATACCACCCTAGGCTACCTCCTCAGAAACCTAGGCAGAGACGTAATTTTCATACTCCAAATCATGACTATCCACGTGAGCCGAGCCTCTGGATCATATGCAACCCTTACTCTGCTGACTGGTTCCAGAATCACGCTAAGGCGCATTTTCACTGGGAATCGGGAAGACCCAATACAGGTCTATAAAGGTCTTTGAGACTTAATGTTTTACCATTGGTATACAAAATGGAGAACTGACTACATCTTTGGGATTGATAATCCTGATTTCAGAAGGCAACTGGTAACAGTAGAAGGACTTCTCAGACGTGACCATTATGTGCACTTCATGTCCTCATCTCAACTAAAAAAGGTTTTTCTTATCTCCTTTTGGGAAGGGCTTTTGTACCTTGATTTTTTCTTCTCCTCAGGGAAATATCACAACATTAGATAGCTCCTTACTGCTGACGTTTGGACAGTACTTTCCCCATAACATTACTATGGGAGGCTTGGTTCCCTGATGTTTTCCCTATTGAAGTGATTGCCAGTTACATCTTTCTTACCTCCCTTACTCAGAAACTCTCCACATATACCATGTTTAGCCTGATATTAGCTGTAGATCTGCCCCCTGGGATGGATAACGGATCACCCATTGTGATCTTTGCTTGACAGTAGGGGGTTTTCAGGATTGCTAAACTACATCTTTTTACTCTTGTATTGAGGCGGTCCCTGGCCTACTGTCCACCTTGTTCATCCTTCTTTACATGTCAGATGGCCCTGAGCTGCTATGTTTTGGACTGTGGGTAGGGACACCTTATACAGTATATAGAGGAGAAGGGTGCCATTGAGACATGCTGCAGTTTATTTCTCTAAGGTCTTGCCTTTTCAGTCTACCATTTTATTGTAAGTTGTTAAATATGTAATACGTTGTACATTTTGTTTACCTGTGTCTTTACCTGGAGGAGAACTGTGGGTGCTCTCCCTATGGCTGTATTCAACCTCACCTCCCCATTAGGCCCGCACTTCAGCAGCTACTTGCTGCATTAGTGAGCAATACGGAGATTTCCTCCCTAGTGTATAAGCGGGGTTGTCATTTAGTGTGTAACAAGTTACCTTCTCTTTATTCTCTCTGACTGTTCTTTTCCTTCTTAGCTCTTTTCTTTTACTTCCTGGTCTTATTTCCATCCTCTGCAAAATTGTTGTGCTATGATGGATTCTCTGTGCATCACTTCCCTTAATGTTAAGGGACTTAATTCTCCTGAGAAAAGACGTATGCTCTTATCCAAGCTCAAAAGGTTGTGCTCTGATGTGGCGTTCCTACAGGAGACTCATTTTTGGGATGACAGGCTTCCACTTCTGAAGAATTGGCTTTATCCCTTTGCTTACCATGCTACTAATAAGGAAGCGAATCTATGGGAGTATCGATTTTGATATCTAGACATGTTCCCTGGGCATTCCAAGATGTGCTAGCAGACGATAATGGCAGTTTTCTTTTTTTTTGAAAGTCAAGCCTGGTGACATTCCGATGACGCTGGCTACGATTTATGCTCCTAATTCCCAAAAGGACCTCTTTCTAAGTGGTGTGCTTGCCTGACTCCTAGAATTTTCCAGAGGTTACCTCATTCTGAGGGGTGACTTCAATGTTCCCTTAATACCTAATGTAGATACCTCCATGGGCACCTCTCCTGTGGCTCCTAATGTCTGCAAACGTATTTCCCAAGCCTTACAACTCAATTGATTGATATCTGGAGGCTCTTAAATTCTAGAGAGAGAGAAAGACAATACTTTTTACTCCCCACCGCACAAGTCCTATTCACGAATCAACTATTTCCTGATTCCAAACAGACAACTACAGATGGTTGAGACTGTTTCTATTGGAAAAATCACCTGGTCGGATCATGTCCTGATTTCTATCTGGTTCTTTCTCTGGTACTTGCCGGGTTACAGACATTATGCCTGGAAATTAAATGAAAGCCTTCTGCAAGACCCTGTAGTCTTGACAGATATGGTACATGAAACCAGTTCACGGTTTCGCACCAACGATACTCCGAACTGCAACCCAGGAATTGTCTGGGAGGCTCATAAGGAGATAATTAGAGGGGTTTTCATTAAATGGGGAGAAAGGATCTAGCAGAAGTGAGAAGCGCAACTATCTGCTCTATTAACAGATATTCACGTTGTCGAATCCAGTCACAAACATGCATCGACACATAATTCGGAGAAGAGGCTGCTTCATCTGCGTAAACAGGTTACGGAACTCTAAAGTTTTTAAGGCTAAGGATACACTTCAGTTGTGCTGCTGGGCATTCTATGAACCCGGTAACAAATGTGGGCGCATTCTAGCCCGCTCAATTCAAGACCAATGCTTGGCGACTTATATAGCCCATGTCATAGGCTCAGATGGTCAGGTGGCCACCCTTCCTACACATATAGCATATAGGCCTTCGGGGAATTTATTTCTCTTTATACAACCTCGACACTCACACACCCCTCCCAACCTCATGACAGGACTATCTGAGGACCTCCGGTATACCCAGGATTCCCTTGCCGATAAGACGGGAACTGGAAGATCCCCATCTCCCTTGACGAGTTACAACGTGTGGTATGCTTCACTAAATCAAGTAAAGCCCCATTCCTTAGTGGTTTCACCATAAAATATTATAAGCTTCTACTTCCTCACCTGGGACATTACATGATCAAGCTATTTAACCCACTGGGCGATGGGGCTTCTTTCCCCCCAAGACACCCTACATGCCCACATTTCATTTCTCCACAAGGAAGGGAAAGACCCTTCTGCCTGTGGCAGCTAAAGCTTAATTTCTCTTTTAAACGTCGGTTAGCAACTATTCACGAAGATTGTGGGTACACGACTTCAAGAACATTTACCATCTCTGATTCACCTAGACCAAGTAGGGTTTATCCCAACTCGGGAAGCCTGTGACAATGCTATAAAAGTACTCCACCTGATTAAGGTTGCCAATCAGACCAATACCCCATGTGTTCTCTTAGGCACAGAAGCAGAGAAAGCCTTCAACTGGGTCAACTTGGGGGTCCATTACTGCGGTCCTCCAACATATTGGTCTGGGGGAAAATATGCGCCATTGGATTTCCAGTGTGTACACTATACCTACTGCATCAGTCAAGGTCAATGGCATCCTGCCCATGCCATTCCCTATAGGGAATGTAACCAGACAGGGATGCCCATTGTCCCTCCTACTCTTTGCCCTCACGTTGGAACCGTTCTTATGTATGATCCAGCAGAATCCTGATATACAGGGGCTGGACATTGGATGACATTGGA